TCTAAGGGTCTAAGGGTCTAAGGGTCTAAGGGTCTAAGGGTCTAAGGGTCTAAGGGTCTAAGGGTCTAAGGGTCTAAGGGTCTAAGGGTCTAAGGGTCTAAGGGTCTAAGGGTCGAAGGGTCGAAGGGGCGAAGGGTCGAAGGGTTTTTTTTGTGTTTGTTTAGGGATGATCGATCCGTTCGGCCTCAATTTTTTTTGAACTAAGTTATAAAAAATAGACAGAGATTGTATACAATTTTCTTACAAGTAATTTTAATTTCAACACAGGTACTTTACCCCAAAATGATGCCTCCTAAGCTCATTATTTTTCTTGTTAAGGAATCTATAGGTTACACATCTATGGAGAATAGTTATAACAAAAGAGTTAATATGCGGAATCTTTAGGTTCTTGATAATTTTATGAATTTATTTGAGAAGTAAAACTTAAATATTGTATTCTATTTTTACATTACATTATATTTAACATGACTTTTACATTTGCAATGTTTTGATAGGAAAAGTTTGGATTAGGGGACTATTTGGAGCGTCGGCAGTGCAATTGGCGCTTGACCCCATCATATTTTACATATCCAGGTACGATCTCCGCTGTATAGTAATGCGTTCTTCGAATTTCTTGATAACATCCATCCGACATTCTTAATTACAAATTGCATACAACTGCATAGATATTCAAAGATATGTGTGAAGTCAACCAACCCTCACTGGCTCTGCGTTGTTAAATAAGACCTAGTCGCATTCCTGAGGGTAGGCTCCGAGCTCCTCAGTGAAGTATAGTGTGTCCGTATAGTGAGCTTGATGATGACGATTTCTTTTGCTTCAATGCATATTGTCTTGTTAGCAATTTTCTAAATATTTTACCAACAGATAGGAGCTAATCTCTTTCCAGTGTTATTCTATTTCTCCCGACGAGAGTGACACTACTACTCCAGTTCTATCAGAAAATATGACCTATCAAATAAACAAACTGGAAAAAATAAGCATTTATCAAAGTTGGGGTATTTTGTAGGTGAACTAAACAATAATGGTATTATTACGAAAGCAGTGAGCATTATGTTGCGTTCATAAAATATGTTCGCTTTATTCAGAAGATTAAATTAAAGTTGCAATTAACGAAATGTTTTATTTTTCCTAAATTGTTTTCCCTCGAATAATACTTTCAAACGTCAAAGAGGAAACTGACAGATTGATTTTTTTAGGTTGGTAGCAACGTAGACTTGTTCATAATATTGCTAGCATTGAAAAAGACAATTTTTATTCTCCGTTTGTGTATCTAATTAGTCAAGAGTCCCGTCTCTTATTTTATATACTCTTTGAAGATTTGCTGAAGTGCGAGCTGCCAACATTTTCACATAAAGATGACAATGACAAGACATTACCACATTGCCAATTAATAGAATATTATTCCTCTAAAATTGATCGCATACCGCATAGGTAAAGTTTTGATGTTGGAAAATATTACCGCCAGAATTATTAAAGTTTTAGCATATCTAATAAATAAATCTTCAATTATTATAACTGAAAAAATGACTGCCTTCAACAAAAGTAGACCAGTAAAAAATGCTTTATTGTCTAATCTATGTTAACAGATGATTTTGACATGTTAAATGTGTATAACTTTGAGTTGTCAAATTGAAGTTATTTTCGGAAAATTCCGAATTTTATTTTATAACGTTAAGTTTAATTGTAATATGTCTATTTTATCTAAGATTTACCCAGTTCTACGAGTTTCCAAGTGTATAGAAATAATTCCTGCGTCAGTTAATCTTTCGAATTCTAATTATGTTCGTTGTTATTCAACTGATAAAGGTAGCGGTTTAACCAAAAGCCAAGAAAGAGCTGATGTTTCCACAGATGTTCGACCTCTAGGTGAAAAGATAAAAGAAACTACAAAAACTGTTTCATACACGGGTGTTATTTTAGCTGGTGTCGGCGTAACTGGCGTTATATTCTATTATGTATTTCGTGAGCTATTTTCCAGCAATAGTCCTAACAGTATATATTCAGTAGCTCTCGAAAAGTGTAAGAATGTAGGTATACAGTACAAAGACGTTATTCTTAACAAAATTCAATATGTAAATAAACCCAAATTTACAGGACCCTAGAATTGAAGATGCACTAGGTGCTCCTATTAAAGGTTATGGCGAGGAAACAACAAGAAGACGGCGTACACATGTTAGCCATGCTGTTTACGAAAAGGATGGGGTTAAGCATATGAGGATGAGGTTTTATATTAAAGGCATTAGGAGCAAAGGCATTGTTGAATTAGATATGAAACAGGTAATGAAACTATACACCTTGAAAAAGGACAATTGGAACTTCACTGTTCAATTGACACTTTCATTCATTTTTCTTACTGTATTATTATTATTACTGTAAGTTAACTTGTTTCAGAATGAATATGGGAACTACATGTGTCGCTATCTATTGGTACAATTAGATGACTTCACTGGAAGAACATTTATTGTAGAAGATAACAGAGCTGAATTAGACCACCAAAAATCAGATTACGGAAGCCAACTGCCCACCCTTACATTGACACAGTAACTGTGTTCTTTTTAAAGTTAATTGTAAATAGAGATGTAGATTAAAACACTTCAAGTTTAAATTTTCTTTTATTACACTTAAAAAAATTAAATATTTGTCATAATAATATCTACTGTTAGGAAGAAACTCTGGCACTGTTCCGGTGTATCGGCACAACACTAATCTTATTAAAATATCAAAGCTTATGTCCCCTCACTAATTGATCAGACAATTGACTTGGTAACAAAAGTACACCATTCGCTTCAAATGATTTTTAACTAATATTGTCTAAAACTACTTAAGTGAAATACTAATAATACCTGGAACCTCTTAAACTTAATTTAAATTATAATTCTATTTTTAAAATAACTTTTAAAGGAATGGACATCAAGCCTGCATTACTTCATCACATGATAAAGAAAATCAACATATTCCTTACCACTGTGATTTATTAATATTAAAATAACTTGTCGGATAATACAGTGGCACTGAACATGTTAACTTGGCCATCATTTTGTGTACAGAATTATGTCATGACTATACATAGCTCATTATTATACTAATCAATCTTCTTATCTCACCTTCCATGGCACAACTTCCCAAGCCATTAACAAACGTTTGTAGAATACAAACTTCTTTATTTCATTGAATAACCAGTAAAATATTACCACAAGCGAAAGATATTGTGGCCAAGCCCATTTGAATTCTTGCATTATACTTGGTTGATATCTAATGTGCATCTCCGGCACTTCTAAGTGGATATTTATATTTAAAACTTCAGTGTTGCCAGTGTGACTGATGGAGAATAGTTTTTTTACCTGTGTTGTTGCTAGAAAAAATATATTTTTTAAATCATTTTCTTGAAACAATCATTTTATTTATTTCAGTTGTTAGTTACCTGTTCTTTTGAAGTATTTTTGCAATATGTGCTGTATAAAATCTCCTTGCTTATAAGGAATATTAAATAATGAGATATTATATCTTGTATCTATAACATTTTTTAAGCATGGTAAATGTGACTTTTGATAAAATTTTAGGTCTCCATTGTAGTGGAATCTAGATGGTGGAATTACAAATTGGCTATTTATTGTCGCTAGTGCTTGCATGTGCATTTCACAGTTTGTCTAAAATAATACAATTCATGATTAAAGGTTACTACTGAACATGTACATTGAATAAATAAAATGTGAATCATGAGAATTTAAGGAAATAAAATGTTCCTTTTTACCTTAGAGTACCAAAGCCCCTGTAGTTTATAAATAGCAATTGCTTAAAATTAGAAAAACAACTAATTTTACCTGTCTTCTTAATTTAAATATAATAAGGTAATTCTTAATTTAAATATAATATACATAAGGTTGTGAAATCAAGTGTATTTACCTGTAACTGTAAATCTATTCCTAAAATTAAAACAATTGATGTAATTGCATGTTTTGGTGGCACATTAAAGGCAAACTGAAAATGTAGCATGTCAGATCTACCATCAGCATTATAATCGTACTCTTGGATCTGTAAGGGAATAATTATATGACTCAAGTTACGCTTTATACGAAAAAAAAAACTATTAAATAAATAAATATACTTGAGTTTCTGCACAGTTTTCATCATTCAATTTATCCAGTTTTAAGTTCGTGGCATCACCACAAATAATGGATTCACTAGGATCCAGTGTTGTGACTACCAATAAGTATTCATATGTAGGACGTACAACTGGCTGTTCATAAAAACTGTGTGACTTGAGCCAAAACCCTGAAAAAGAACTCTTTTAAAACATCCTTTAAAAATCTCCAGGTTAAATATTGCTATTTGTTTTTCACAGGATCTTAAATATGCTACAGTCCAAATCCGTAGAAGTGAACCGAAACCGTAACCAAGTGAAGTCTTACAAAAAAACAAATTGAAATGCAATGGAGGCCTGTAAAATCAAAGGCAGCTAAACGTCTTAATTTCATGTTCTATAAAGAGAACTATGGCGCCATCTACTTTAGTTAGTTGGACACGCTTGAGTGTTTTCAGTTTACTAACAAATGCGGCTAAATCCCGTGCATAGCTAATCCAAAAATTGATACAGCTACATGTCAACCAGCATATGATCTGAACAAAGTTATGGATTTTTGTAGCTGAATATTAGGCAACTTAAGATTAAGCTGCCATTAATTTTGTAGACTTCAATTATCATAATAACTACATACATTTTAAGTATACATTAATAAAATATTTAAAGAATTTATTACCTCTACTCCTATAAGCCACAATAAACGGTAAAATTATATTCAAAGCCGTAATAATTAATGTAAATAAAGTTGCTTTTGATAGAAAATAACTTTTGTATTTTATCTCAACACTGTGACTATATAAATTACAAAGTCCCATTGTTTTAACGCTGAAGTCAGACTTTGGAACACGTTTTATATATTTATAAGACGACTGTTTTGGTACTTTTTCACTTTAGGTTACATTTGAACTTTTATTCTCAATGCTTGACTCTGCAATGCCGATTTGTTTATTGTCATTTTTTGTTGCTTAGCAACATAATTTTCCTACTGTAGTATTGTTGTTAGTCTATTGTTTCATTTATATAATATTTTGTTACGTCATTACCAATCGTTTGCAATTTAATATTTTAATAAGAACAAAACCCACGTTTTTATAATTAATGTTACAAATAAATATATTTTTAAATATTAACTTTATTAAGTTTAGATTTTATAAAAACCTCACGGCAATGTAAAAAGATAACAAAAAAATAGCAAAATGAAGTGCTAGTTTTTTTATACATTTGATTTAAGTTTTTAATAAAGTAAATTATGGGAGTGACCATCTGTATTTTACTTTATAATACATTCTTACGTGTAATAATTTTGGACCGAGCAGTAAATAACTGTTTCACAGTTTCAATACTAATATTGAAAGTTGTGATGTGATAGTTTTCAAGGTGTATATCGACATGCTTAATTACCTACTATTTTATGAAGTTGGAGTGACTGTAATCGTCTTCTAATTGTAAAAATGAAGATACTTCCATACAACTTTTCATCCCCCCATTCAACCCTTTTTTCTCATTAATAAGTAAAAGTTGCCTATGCCTATGTCCTTCCTTAGACTCGAAATTATCTGTTTACCAAACTTCATTTAAATCGGTTTTAGTTTTTGCTTGAAAGTAAGATAGTTAGACAAAGTTACTTTCGCATTTATAATAACAGTAAGGTTAAAAAGTAAGGAAGTAAGGATTGTTAAAAACTAACAATTAAAAAAGGTTTAGATAGATTATTAGGGGTTGGCTGTAAGATTTTACATATCTTTGCCTAAAATTGTGTAACAATATAAAACAACACTACTAAAATGGACGAAAAAGAGTTTTAATTATTTTTTACGTTCTATTCATCGTCGCGGTTAAGTTACTGTTAGCAGTTTACAATATGTGAGACAATGGCACGTTCCCCGACGTCTCCAAGTCAGCGAGCAAGCACAATGACGCCCCGAAACCAGCGAGTGTGGCGCCCGGCGTGACACCTGACACCGCATCTGACAACAATCTCTCTCCTGCAGGAACACTATATAAACATTGAGAGAAATAAGGACCATCATTCGCTCTGGTGTCATCGGCATAGAGCAAACTGTGGTATTTAATTATCTACTTAGTAAAATTTAATTAATTTTGTGTAATTTCTAATTTGTCTACGGGTTTGCAGATCCAGTATGGACAGAATGTCATCAAGCATGACGTCAAGTATGACCGGGATGGGGCTCGGAGGCATCACGGGATTGACCTCCGGGATGAGTACTTTGAGCTGTGTTAGAGAACAGCAAATAACGATTGGTGGGATGCCGTCTAATTATGTTCCGGGACTATCGGCGTCCTACAATATCTCGAGCTTCTGCCACCGGCCGGGACTTACGCGCCGCTGTGCCATGCAGCGGCCAGGACCGTCAGCCCAGCATCGACCGGGGCGCTCTCACAGCACCGGAGCATTGCACCGCATGAAGCATTCATCACGCAACAGCCCAAACACCCAGTACACTCATAATCTTATCTGCAAGTTGGCCGATCAAAATGAACGTCGGCGTCGCCACGACACTATGGAGTTGATACCGCAAAGTTACTATTCCCAGCAGCCACTTAAAGTGGAGTTAACTGAGTTCTACTCTCGAGACAATGCGAAGGATCATCATACGGAGCAGTACGAGCTCGTGAACGACAACATATTGCCGAATCCTGTGTTGCGCAGGGGACAGAACTTTTTCTTTGCAGTTCGCTTCGATAGGACGTACGACAAGCAGCAAGATGTAATCCGTATCGTATTTTGCTTCGGTAAGATTTTATAAGATAGATTGCAATAATGAGTAGTAATAGATACGCACGTTTTGAACATACAATAATATGTAAATTAAAATAATTTTCCAGGGCCGAAGCCAAGCGTTACGAAAGGGACACGAGTAGTCTTGTCTGTGAACTTGAACACACAGCAAGGGGTCTTTCAACATTCCCGTGATATGATGGGGTTAGGAATGGCACGGATGCAAGAAGCTACCACGACCATTGCACCTATAGGGACCATGGGAACTATAGGCACGATGACGACGGTGAGCACGATAGGCACCATGGGCCCTATGAGCGGCATGCGTGAAACCACTACGTACGGTGTGCGACGCAGCTCTTTTGGGAACGAAACGATGCCTCTGCAGCACAGTCCGCTTAGCCCACCCGGACCCATGGACCGACCGCCAATCGAGCGGTACAGCGCTACGGCGCAGCACTCCTCATTCGGCCGCAGTTACGGCTCACGGCATGGATCCCGCCATGGCTCCTCGCAAAATCTTACCTCGATGACCCACGAAATGGATAAATGGGACGTAAGCGTCCAACGCCAAGATGGCAATACTATAACATTTCAAGTGCACGTCCCGGCTACCGCTCCCGTGGGGGTGTGGAACTGCTGGGTGCAAACGAACCGTACCGGCCAGCGCGACAATCGTCACGATTACAAATGCGATGAGGATATCTACGTTTTGTTCAATCCCTGGTGTCGCGAGGACTCTGTGTACATGGACAATGACGCTTTCAGAAAAGAGTACGTGCTCAATGAGCAGGGTAAGATTTGGTGCGGTACATGGCGCCAGCCCAAGGGACGTAAATGGATCTACGGTCAATTCGATGACGTGGTGCTGCCGGCGTGCATGTACCTCTTGGAACGTAGTGGTCTCGAGCATTCGGAGCGCGGTAATCCAGTTCGAGTTTGTCGCGCTATTTCATCGATTGTAAGTTAGGAGTCGATCAATATCTTTTTTTTTCATAGGCGCTTACTACGCTTTATATATATTTATATTTTTTTGCACAGATTAATGCTAATGCAGACGATGACGGTCTCATGGTCGGTCGATATGACGGGGAATATAAAGATGGAGTATCGCCTCATGCTTGGACTGGTTCGGTAGCCATCTTGGAACGTTACCTGACTGACGGCGGTCGCCCTGTGGAATACGGTCAATGTTGGGTATTCTCCGGATTGGTCGTAACAATTTGTCGAGCTCTAGGTAATTAAGTTTTACCTTTTACGTTGGCTTTGGTATTTTAACTCATTGCTAAACGTTTCATCTTATTCCAGGAATACCTTGTCGCTCCGTAACAAACTACGTATCGGCGCACGATACAAACCGCACGTTTACCGTCGACAAATACTTCGACCGAGACGGAAATGAGGTGCCCAACGGCCCCGACGAGGATTGTTTTGACTCTTGCTGGAACTTCCATGTTTGGAATGACGTTTGGATGCAGAGGCCGGATTTGCCGCAAGGTAAAAATAATAATTATTTGTATAGTACGGTTACACGATATTGGCTTTTGCGATACTTACTTATATCATTTATATACTTTGATCATTGCTATAAACTTCAGGATATAGTGGATGGCAAATTATTGATGCAACGCCTCAAGAGGAGGCTGAAGCAGTGTACCATTGTGGCCCCGCCAGTGTAGAGGCCGTGCGCCGCGGGGAGGTGGGTTTCCAGTATGACACGCCGTTCATGTATGGCCAGCTCAATTCCGAGCTCTGTCACTTCCAAGAAGAAGAGAATTCCGACTGGGGCTTCATTAGAATGGCGTCCAATCAATGCCAGTAAGTAAATTAGAATCAGCTATGAGCTGTGATTATTATTTCTTTAAAACATAAACAAGGAAAATTACGATTCCCAGGAAAACAAACAGATAGGTATATTTGGGTTTTCATATATTCACAATAAAATTAAGACGTAATAAAACCGTGGGCTTGTTTTCAGAGTGGGCCGCAAGATCCTAACCAAGAACCCGGGTCGTGATGACGATGAGGGCGAAAGCGACTTGCTGGAGATCACCCACGAGTATAAGAGCGTGGACAGCTCGGGCCCTGATCGTGGCACTGTGATCGCTTCGTGTCGCGGTTACCAACGTCTGCAGCAATACTACGAGTACCCTGATCGTAACTTTGATGACGTCTATTTCGATCTAATGGACATTGATGTAGTACCCTACGGTCAGCCATTTGATTGTACCATGAACATCCAGGTAAATGTTTTTTCAAAGCTATTATTCCTCATATTATGGGAAGGAAATTATGAAACTTACTATCTTGCTTCATTTTAGAACAAGTCACACGAAGACCGTACGATTTTATGTGTGCTGACTGCATCCGCGTGTTACTACACTGGTGCCATAGCGTCCAGGCTGCGTCGAGCTCAGGGTGAGTTTATTGTTCGCGCCGGACAGCGTGAGGTACTTAAGCTGCACGTCACTCCACAAGAGTACATGGACAAGCTGGTGGATCACTCGATGGTGAAGGTGCACGCTATGGCGTACGTCAAGCAGACACGCCAGGCTTGGTCTGACGAGGACGACTTCCCGCTCAATAAACCAAGGATGCAAGTGCAGGTACAATCATCAACATAAGAGGTTTATTCGTAATTCACAATAATCGAGGTGACATTGAAGCATCGATTTTGTACACAGGTGAGAAGTCAGCCTAGTGTGGGTCAGGAGTGTAGCGTGACCTTCAGCTTCCAGAATCCATTAACCGTGCATCTCACCGACTGCTACTTTACCGTTGAAGGACCGGGAATACAAAGACCGCGGCAGGTAAGGACAACAAATTTTCTTTCCCATTCGTCTTATTTATGCTGTTGTTTTAGCTCTTCTCCTTACTTCTATTTGCTTGTTTGTCGTCTTATTCACTGAAGAATATAATGATCATTTTCTTGGGCAGATTCGTTTCCGCGACGTGAAGCCAGGCGAGTTCGTGAACTTCCAGGACAAGATGACGCCGCGGCGTGCTGGCGAGAAGCACATCGTGGCGACATTCTCCTCGCGGCAGATGGACGAAATATTCGGGTGCGCGGCGGTGAGCGTCCGCGGCTAGCTAGTCCCCGGGCCCCGGGCGTCCCCGCGCCCCCGCCCGGCGCCCGCCCACGTCCCGCGCGCTGCCTCGCCATTATCCTCCCTGCAATTCGACCACTCCTACGTAACCTATCTGTTGCCCGAAAACCAC